TCTATCACCTCTTCTCTTTCTAGTGGCAAAGAACCTTATATCTAAGAAACAGAGAGACACCCCCTCCACATAAGACAATATGTGGTCTGTGCTCTTGTTTAGTGCATTGTTTATTTTTTTGCTAATTTGTTTTTGAGAAGCTATTTTGTTTTTTACAGTTATTAATTTACTTTATGTTTATTGAATACAATATAATAAAGATTTTATTCCTTCTCATATCTATACCTTACTCCCTGCCCAATTTAATGTACTCTCTTATGTATATAACACAGTCTATAGATTTTGATTTGTGTCGAGGATATAATACATGCATAGTAATATGATACAATCAAATCCCACCCTGATATCCTTCCCTCCAACACCTTTCATAACTCGTACACTTCCCTCTCACCTTCATGTGCTCTCTTTTGAGCTCACTCAGTTCATAGATTGTTGTGAGCACATGCATGGGTGGGTGTAGGACCATCATTTATATTTACACGCAGTTTGTCTAACCTTGGTGTTCCATGATTCCGACCTCATAAATTATGTTATAATACTTCTGTTTTGAAGGACTTTTCTTTGATGCTGCCATTTTTCACTTTATACTTTAGTTAGCATACAGATAACAGGTGTCAGCATGGCATGTCTACACATCATTTGCTTTGGTCCTCTTTTCTCTCTTCTCTCCTCCATCTCCCAGTCTCCACCCAGCTTGTTCCCATCTTCCCCCAGGAGTCTCCTTTCCAGCTTCATGCCTTATCCATTCTATTACCATCCTTTCCTTAAAACATCTTTCCCCCTCTAATGGCCCAATTTCTAGTTTCGTGACTTTTCCCTCATATGCAAACATATAAGCATTAATAACTATACTTTATATATGACAGAGAAAATGCTGCATTTGTCTTCTCGGTCTGAGATCCTTCAACAATATATTTTCTAGGTCTACATATTTTATTGAAATATTGATAGTTTTTATTTTTATGAATAAAATCCCATTGTGTTTATTTCCCATATTTCACTTTCCATTCATCTGTTGAATATTTAGGGATGGTTACACATCCTAACTATTGTGATTAGAGCAGCAATAGGCATAGATATGTACAAGAATCTTTGTGACAAGATATGCAATCCTGGAAGTATTGCTAAAGGACTGGAATGGCTCATTCTTTGTAGTTTTGCTAGAATTCAGTTACATGGCTATAATTTTTTGTCCTTTTCTTTGTTAGGCAGTTGTAAATTACTATTTGGATTGTATCTTGAACTTCAATATATATGTCCCTCTACTTGTCTAATACCTACTCTTTTCTTTATTATTGATATATTCATATGTTATAGTTATAGTTGATCTAATCCATGGAGGTAATATGTTCCAAAGAATTTATCTATAACCACTGATTTGGACAATGTTGACTTGCTTTTTTAGGCTATCTATTATATTTCACCTGGGATAGCAATTATAAGTTTCTATTATTATATCTGGTTTGTACAACTATTCTCTAATATTTATATTGTAACAGATGTTTGAAAATTTGCTTTACTATTCAGAAAAAATAGCTGTTAGATATTACTGATTGCAATTTTCTCAATTTATAAACTTGTCTGTGTGTTTTATCATATGTTTTAATCTGGATAATGTCATCTGTATTTGAGAATAGTTTGAATTGGAGGCTGTGGAATACAATGTTCTACAAAGGTCTATGATGTATATTTGTTCTAAATGATAGTTAAAACCCAGAGCTAGCCTATTAAAATTCAATGTAGAAAAGATTTAACTTTTTAATCCATCATTAGGAAATTGATAAGACACTTTGGTCACTGAGAGTGAAGCATAGTATAAATGGATGTCTTTATGCAAATTTCAGTGAGGAAAACACAAATTTGCAAGATAGATGATGTTAAGAAATTGCACAATGCGTTGTTTTATGTCAGCAGGCCCTTATGTGGGAAGTGGAGACTGGGAATGAACTTGAGGAAAAGCACTGAATGAAAGACTTTTTCCTGGTTAGGTTCTGGTTAATAAGACTGATCCTGCTGTGAAGCTTATTTATATGTGTGTTGAGTTGTGCACTTTTGGTGTGGATGTAGAAAATTTTATAGAAAAAAAAAATCTGTAACTAGTAATGCTTCTCAGAATCATGGTAGAAAACTCTATGTAAAAGGAAAAATAATTAGTTTATCTTCCCATTACAATCCTGTCAAATAAAGAAATAGCAAAGACAAGGCAGATTATGAAATAAATGAATATGTTTTCATTATCTTCAATGAAAATAGAGCCCAAGCCCTGATTTTAATTTACTTTTAACCAATACAGATGCTTTTATTAATATAAAGAACATAATTAACCTTGTGAATCACACTTCATTAAATCCTCTATTTTGGTTAATTTTATGATTTACATTAATTTTATGATTTATATAAGTATCCACAATTATCTCTTTTTAACCATAAAATCCTTTGTGTGTTTCACTCCTTAGCACCAGTCAGGTATTAGTGATTTGTCTGTGTGTTTGAGGTGGGGAGGAAAGCAGATGGGGTGCAAGGTGGAGACCAGACAGGAGCTACTATGCTCACTTACAATTGCACCAGGGTGTCCTGGTTCAGGTGGTGCTGGCAAGGCAGGTGTAGGTGCAGGAGGTCCCAGTGGCCTGGAATTGCAATTTGTCATCACCTACGCCATATAAAATGTTGAATCTCCTTGACTCTGGTGGAGGTAGGCTCTGAAGCAGGACAGGCAAAGAAGGTGTGGGAGCAGGGACTGTAGGTAATATCAAGAACAGGGATGCCATGACTGCCCAGAGACACAGCTCACACAGAAGCTGGCTGGAGGAGAGGCAGCTAAGCAGTAGGAATGGGCTACACTCTGCCGGCTCCAGCCACAGTTACCTTAATACCACAAATTTTACACAATAAAAATAATTCTTACTCATTTTCTGGAATTATAACATTCTCAACCTGCATTTATACTGATTTCAGTTTCTAGCTAAAATGATTAGATTTAGGGGCTGGAGATATGGCTCGGTGTTTAAGAACAATGGCTACTCTTGGAGAGGACCAGGTTCAATTCCCAGCATCAGCATGGCTGCTATCAACGATCCCTAACTCCACTTCCAGCAGAATCCAATGCCTTCTTCTGACGTCTGTGGGCATTGCATGATGCAGGTGTACTTACTCACATGCAGGCAATATACTCATACATATAAAATAAAAATATAAATAAAATATTTTTAAAACATAAGATTTATATTTACTAATTGTAATTCATAGATTGTTAAGCATGATCATTTCTCCTTTAATTTGTATATTATTCTAAAATTAACTGACTAAGCATAGCCAAGTTCATGAGGAATTTCTTAGCAACCATTTCTGTGGAACAATAATAATAATAACCACCATCACAAAAATGATTTTCTGTCATTGTACCTGACTCCAGTGGGTGAACTTGCACTGAGGGACATCTAGGTACAAATGTTTGACAAGATAAAGCTTACTATATATGAGAGAACATATGAAATCCAGCAGAAAGGGGGAGGGTCTAAATTTAATTAAAAGCTATTATATGAAATACACAAAAACTCAATAAAAATATTTTTAGAAGATTTCTCAAGGTTCTTGAACAATTTAATTGTCCCGGGTTTATCATTGTTTACTTATAGTATCATTTACAAATGTTTTACAAGATAAGGCTTACTATATATGAGAGAACATATGAAATCCAGCAGAAAGGGGGAGGGTCTAAATTTAATTAAAAGCTATTATATGAAATACACAAAAACTCAATAAAAATATTTTTAGAAGATTTCTCAAGGTTCTTGAACAATTTAATTGTCCCGGGTTTATCATTGTTTACTTATAGTATCATTGTAATTCATGTATGTAAGTAAAAATTATTCCCACAAAGCTCAAGTATTAGGCCTGGGGTGATGGTTCAGCAATTAAAGAGCTTGTAATATATGTGAGAGAACTGGAGTTTGGGTTTCCAGAACTCACAAAAATCCCTGGTAGGTGTGGAATCTAGGCTGTAATTCCTGCCCAGTAAGGTGAAACAGACCAGTCAATCTCCTGAGCAAACCAGCTAACAAGACTAACTGCATAGGCAAGCTCTGGGTTTTATTGACAGACACCATTTCAATGAGTAAGATCCAAGAACTGAGGTCGAAGATGACTGACTTTAATCTCAGGTCTCTATAGACATATGTATGCAGTCACACTTGTGACCATGTATACACACACACACACACACACACACACACACACACACACGAAAGACAAAAAATGCTCAAATAGTTCATGGATAGTGAGCATGTTATTGATAAGATCTGTAGTTACCATTACATAGTGAAGACGGTTGCTCCATTTG